TGCATTTGCCTACACATTATATAGATGTTTTGGTTTGAAAAATTACAATACAATATCATTAGTAAACTGTTCTTGTCTTTTCTTCTTCTTATTTTTTTTTATTTTTTTTGGGTACAATTTTGTTATGTTTTTATTTTTAATAAAATTTGGCCTTATCATATCTCTGATGGACCCAATTTTGCCTTATCATATCTCTTATGGACCCAGGCCCCATCCATTGCAAGGGTTTTCCACTGGGATTAAATAAGCATAACATAATAATAAAAAAATCTGTAATAAATAGACGTATGGAGGTGACATGTTTAGTAAAATTTGAAAATCTCTAATCCCATTGCTTTGATTAAGAAAAATATTTGATAACTTGAATTTGTGTGACGCGATTGGTTCGAATATCTCAAAATAATGTTGTTTTGAGAGTAATGAAAATTCGGGTCATGAAAATTCGAATTACCAATCATTGTTGCTTTGATTAATTTGCTGAAATTTTGAACCCCCAAGGGCTGGCCTAGTGGTGTAGGCTTGGGACTTAGGAGTTTACTTCTCTCTAGATCTTAAGTTCAAAACTTCTTAGGTGCTATCAATCTTTGTGTTGGGTCAGTCTATACAGAGTTTTGCTCTGACTTTAAATGGCCCTCTTGCTAGTGGACGTTTAAATGGACCCTTCACTAGTAGACGGTGGGATTGGTCCCCAGGAATTAGTCGAGGTGCACGCAAGCTGGCCCGGATACCTGAGTTATCAAAAAAAAAAAAAATTGTTTCTCGTTGTTTGGTTTTGAGAATTTTAAGATATAATCAAACATTTCAAGATTTCCAAAATAATAATAATCACTTTGCTTGGTTATCATTTTTCAAAAATACTTTTCAGAAAATTCTACTTTCTTATTTTCGGTATGTCATGAGAATCTTGAGGTATTTGAAGTCTGCCCCTGGTAAGGGTCTGTTTTTTTCAAAGTATGATCATCTTCGTGTAGAAGCCTATACAGATGCTGACTGGGCTGGGTCAGTAACTGATAGGAGATCAACTTCAGGGTATTGCACATTTGTTGGCGGCAACCTAGTTACTTGGAGGAGTAAGAAACAGAATGTGGTTGCCAGGTCAAGTGCAGAAGCTGAGTTTAGAGCTATGGCACAAGGTGTGTGTGAACTTTTATGGATCAAATTATTGTTGAGTGATCTAGGTATTGCTCAGACGGACTCCATGCGGTTATACTGTGATAATAAGGCCGCCATCAACATTGCTCACAATCCCGTTCAACATGACAGGACAAAACATGTTGAGATTGATCGCCACTTCATTAAAGAGAAACTCACTAGTGGTACCATTTGTACTCCTTTTGTTCAGTCTGGTGAACAACTTGCTGACATTCTCACCAAGGGAATTGGGAATAAACCGTTTCATGACATATTAGGCAAGCTGGGCATGAGAGATATCTTCGCACCAGCTTGAGGGGGAGTGTTGGCATATTATAATCACCGAAAGTCACTTAGTATTTTATTAGCCGAAAGGCAGTAGGGTCTGTTATCATTGTTATGCCCTCAGGGATCATCTTGTAATTGTCGTGTTTGTAAACCCTAATCTTCATGTATAAATAAGGGGTGATATCTCATCATACCCTAAGCTGATTTATTCGAGCTTCAATACATTCATTCAAAAACAGTAAATTTTGTTATCTAAACTGAAGTGATTCCAAAAGTTTTGTTTTGTTTTTTTTTTCGTTTCGTTTCGTTTTTTTTTTTTTCAATATATTTGCGTAGGAGGAAAAGGAGGTTGAATTAAATGGGTTGGGCTGTTTGGCCCTCCTATGTAAGGGGTTTCCATGCATTCATTGAGGCATCCAAGTAATCCTCGATCATCTTTACTCCCTTTACAAAGAGTAGAGCTTCTCTCCATTGCCACCCTCTCCCTCTCTCACTAAGGCCGCCTCAGTTGTCACCTTCACCATCTTTGATGCTCTCCTGCCATCTCAATGCCCCCCATCTTCCTAGAAGATCTCACCACAAACCGTCCACAATATGAAAGAAAATTACAAATTCATAAAAAAAAAATCCAACCCATTGGTTTGAGGCATACATCTCAACCTTTGTTGGTAGAATCATACGATATTCGCGATTCTAATCGTACATTGTATGATTCGGTTTGAGACACCTGGAAATTGATTCGAATAGATTGAAGGAATCGCAAATGGCACAAAATCGCAAATGAATTGAACGATTCACGATACGAATTGCAGAATCGTTAGATCGTGCGATTCAGTCTTGTCACGGGTCAACCCAGATTTCTCGGACCCAAATGAAGAAAAATCGATTTTTGGCCCATTTTTTTTTTTGCTTTTTCTTGCTAAATGATGGGTTGCCTGGTCTTCTAAGACCAAACGACAATCCAACAAACCTAACCCACTGTCTCTATTTACTCCCAAAAGACAACCCTAGAAAAACTATTGACTACGCTTGTTTCCACTTTTCAAAAAATATTTTTTAGAAAATTTTACTTTCTTATTTTTCGTGTTTTTTTGTTTTTACTGAATTTTTTTAATATTTTAAGCAATTTTTTTGCTTTTTAGACACACCTAACATAAATACACCTAAAAAATAAAAAAAATTGTAAAAAAAATCTTTTAAAAATTCACTAAGTACCAAAAATACAAAAAAAATACAAGAATTCAGTATATTTTTTATATTTTTATGTATTTATTAATTTTTTAAAATATTTTTTCACAATTTTTTTACTTTTTAGATACATTTAAGTAAGGTGCATCTAAAAAAATAAAAAAAAATATTTAAAATTTAAAAAATATTCACTAAAAACAAAAAAACACGAAAATAAAAAAAGTCAGTTTTCAAAAAACTTAATCCAGAAAACTCAAACCAAACACACTAATTGTTTTCTCCTTCTCTTTGTTCGATGCAGTGCTCTGTGTCACTGTTTGGTGGCCCCTTTGCTGCAGGAATATGTTTCGGTGGTCCTTTTTCTTTGTCTTCAACTTGTAGAAAACTTTATTAAAGTTTGTCCTCTTGGGTCTTCAACTTTCAGCTACTAACAGACAAAACTCATAGGTATTATAAAATAGTATATTGACTTTAAACTTTTCCATTACTTTATTGTTGTGTTGTGTACTGTGGACTGTGGGGTATTGAAGCTGCAGCTGGGACATTAGAAAAATATTTTGCTTTCTTTGGTCTTCAATCAATATTTTTCTTTCTTTGATGGATAATAAAAATATGAAAAGAAAAAAGAAACATGGGACACAAGATCCGACATGGGACCATTGTACCTGTGTCAAAGATGACAATAGAATTCATTTGAGATGTAATTATTGTGGAAAAGATTATTGGGGTGGGGTGATTCGAATGAAAGATCATTTTGCCGGAACTCATGATAATGTTGGTGCTTGTAGTCAAGTTTCTGAAGATATTATGAATGTGTTTTCACAATTGTTAAGTGGAAAAAAATAAGACAATGTTATAGATGCTGATTGTTTTGAAGAAAAAAATGTTTGAGGGGAAAAGCAAAGGGGGAACTATGGATGCGTATGTCACAAAGGGGAGGGCAAAACAACAAACTTTGAATCAAATGGTAAAGCAAAGGGAGCTCGTGATTAGAGATATTTGTAGAGTCATTTATGGACATGCATTGGTTTTTAATTTAGTGAAAAGCCCCTTGTTTAAAAAGATGTTGAAGTCAGTTGGCGAGTATGGTGTGGGATTGAAACCACATAGTTATCATGAAGTAAGAGTATATTTTTTGAAAAAAGAGGTTGATCATGTGAATGCAAGTTTAGAAGTGTATAGGAAGGAATGGAAGAAAACGGATTGCACTATAATATCCAATGGATGGATTGATGGAAAGTTTCGCTCTCTTACTAATTTCCTTGTTAATAGTCCAAGTGGAACGGTGTTTATTAAATCAATAAACACCTCCATTGCAATTAAAAATTCTATGAAATTATTTGAGATGCTTGATGACATTGTGAATGAAATTGGAGAAGAAGATGTGGTTCAAGTGGTAACCTATAGTGCATCGGCCTATGTGGGTGCTGATAGAATATTGGAAGAGAAGAGGACTGAATTGTTTTGGTCCCCATGTGCAGCACATTGCATTGACTTAATGTTAAGTGACATAGGTGAGTTGACGGTTTTCAAAGATACAATAATTAAAGCCAAGGAAATTGCTGTGTACAATTATAGGCATGCTTGGGTGCTTGATTTGTTCAGAAAATTTATAAAGAAAATTTACCAAAAGCTAGTTATTAGAGTGCTAAGCCTTACTTGTAGTGCCACCGGGTGTGAGAGAAATTGGAGCACTTTTGATCATGTGCACTCCAAGAAAAGAAACCGGTTGGAGCAACAATGGTTGAATGCTTTGGTTTTTGTGAAGTATAACATTCAACTTGAGTTGAGGCAAATTAAGAGACAAGAAAGGGGTGAGACTTGTGATCCTATTTGTTTATCGGATATGGAATCCGATGATGAATGGATTACTGAGAAAGAGGATCCATGTCTACTCGAAGATCATTCATGGATGGACATACAAGAGTGCTTCAAAGATGATGAAGGAGCAACAAGTAGCAAAAAGAGAAAAAGAGGTATAATTCTATATTTGAAATAAGTTAATTTTAAAGATTTAGTTTTTATATTTTCACCTTTACTTGCTCATTCATAACCTTACTTATTTTTATTAATGTAGGACCAAGAAATTTAAATGCCGATAGAGGAAAAAGTAAAGTATTTGAAGATGATGATGAAATTGAATTGATTGAAGGTGGAGAAGAGGAAGAGGAAGAGGAAGAGGAAGAAGAGTTTGATGAAGTGACTATGGTAGATGATGAAGAAGAGGATGACTCTGATATTGACCTTGGAGATGATGATTGACTAATGAAGAAATGAAGACTTTTTGAAATTTTTAAATTTGTCTAATCTAACTTTTGTTTTGTAAGGTCTCTTTTTGACACAAGGAACAAGTATAGATTAGAGTTTTGAAAAGTTTAGAACTTGTTAAGTTGTGAACCTTATTCATGATCATATATTCATGGAATCATATTATAATGAATGTGGATTGCCATACATATATGATGTGATGTGAATTTACATAAATTATATCATAAATGCATAAATATAATATAGGATCATAGGTCACAGTGGGGCTTGGACCCACATCTATTGCCATAGAAGCGTCTTACCTATTTAGACCACGTGATCATCATTTAAAATAGCATTTTCATTAATTTAAGTCTAAATATTTCATGTTTATAATATCTAAGTGTGTAAATATGTTTATTTATTTATTTGTTAATGTAATTAAGAAAAAGTGATTGAATCTTTACGATTTACAATTCGATTCGATTCGCGATTTGGTATATGGCCATTTCGATTCACGATTCGAATCCCAATTTGACAACTATGATCTCAACAATTTCTTTAGAGATGAATGTTTGGTACTTAATTTTTCATGGAAGGTTATCTTTGGATTTTTACTTTCCACAGCAGAATTTTTGCTTATCATGTTCTATTTTTTTTTCAATTAATGTAATTCATTATATTGAATCTTACGAATCACAACATGATATGAAATATTGGGTTAATACACAACACAATACATGATTTCCTTGATCACTGTACTTCACCAACAATTACTATAAGCTGTGAACAGGTCATATATAAGGATAAACTTGTTTTGGGTAAATTACATCACGGATCTCTCTAATTTGAGCAAAATTTCACTTCTGTCCTTTGGTAGTTTTAATTTGCACAATTTGGTCTCTACACTTTCAATTTTGTTGCAATGTGGTCCCTCCATCATGTGTTGTTACCATCTTGAATAGAAAAAATCATGTGCAAAACTAGAGGGACCAAAGTGGAATTCAAAACAAACTATAGGGACCGCTGATATAATTTACACCGGTGCTCTCTATAATTTGTTTTGAATTCCACTTTGATTGCTCTAGTTTTAGAAATGGTCTTTTTCCATTCCAAATTCTAACAGTAACGGAGGGACCACAGTGCAATAAAATTGAAACTGTAGGTATTGAATTGTTTAAATTGAAACTACATAGACTAAAGTGAAACTTCGCTTAAACTATAGGGATTAGTGGTGTAATGTACCCAAAATATTTTCAACATCAATTTTGAATTAATGGACTTGATGAAGAAAAGGAAGCCAAAAGATAATGTGTTTTAGGTTTGCCTTTCTTTTATAGTTATTGTTCCCTTTTTGAAACATTGTATTTCGTTGTTCTTCTATATTTGTCAATATCTTATAGGACATCGTGCCAAAATTGTATTGTTGTATATGCGTATGCGCCCATATGTTGAGTTAACATGGTTTTTAAAGTTACTCACCCTGCAAGCTGTGTAATTTTGGCAGAGATGGGTCAAATGGTTTGTGGGTCTTGCCAGGAGCTTCTTTCTTATCCTCGAGGAGCCAGGTTGGTTAGATGCCTATGCTGTCAGACAGTCAATTATTGTCTAGAAGGTATTAAGGTCCTTCCTCTTGAACTGATAATCAGATTTGATTTTCATTACAGAACCCAGCTTTTCATTACTACCCTATCAGTTTGCAAAGTTTCTAGTGTAATAGTTCATAGTAGATTTATCTATAAAAGTTTGACATGTCTAATCACTTGTATTCTGATTTTGATTGTTCTTTTTCTTTTTCCCTTCCTCTGTTTCTCTTTTCCCTTTTCCTTGTATGAATTTATGATTGTTCTTCTCTCCTAAATTTGGTGAAAGGACCTTGTGGCATACCATGTCTTAACTTAGGTTCCTTCCCATTTTCAAATTTGAGATCTTAGAGAAGTTTGACTTCTACATGGATTTGAAATGATATCTAGACTCTTGGATCTGATTTTTATGGCCTTTCCAGTTTTTTTATTTTTTATTTTGAAAATTTTATCGAGGCCTATCTCATATTTCCTACAGGTCAGTAAGCCACACCATAATTATCAAAAGAAAGAAACAGAGGACCAAGAATAAAGTGAAATATTATTGCAACATTTGATCATGCATTGTCCCGTATTTGGGTGCAGTGCAATATCAATGAGCCACCATGTCTGTTGCTGAATCCAATAATTATGAATAATGATGTTCACTTGCCTTTAAACCTCTCACACCCTAATTTTTTTCTTCTAGCCTCTCACATGAGTGTGAGAAGCTAAAAATGGAATGTGAATATTGTTGCTTTTAACTAGAGCTAATATTTTAGATAAAATGTCCATAGGAACACACCCTTGTGAACCTTTTATTTTTAATTTTTTTTAATACTAGTTTTTATTATGAAACATAAAAAGATATCCAGATCCTGCTTTTGCGGGAGCCTTGCACATTGAGTTCCCCTTCATACTAGTCTTTTTCATTTTCAATTCTTATTATTGTCTACTTTCAAGCCAGGTTTGCTTTCACTTATTATTATTATTATTATTATTATTATAGAAGTTAATTGCTCTTCATTTCTTTTCAGAACATGAAGTTGGGCAAGTGAAGTGTGGGGGTTGTGCAGTGTTGTTGATGTACCCTTATGGAGCACCGTTTGTTAAATGTTCATCTTGCTGTTTTGTGACAGAAATTGGAGTACGTAAATTCTTCCTTGATACTGTATATGTACTTGTGTGCTGCGGACAATTTTTTGGTTGTTATGTACTTAATATGTATATATATAGAGTGATGCTATGCATAGGGGTGTTTGTTACAACTTACATAACCTGCTTTAATTTTAATTTGGAAGCTTGTGCCAAATTGTTTCGTGTAACTTCTATTTACAACTTATTAAGCAGAAATAACTTAAATAAACTGAGAAAAACTGATTATCTAGAAGTTAAAAGAGAGGTACTTTTGACGTCTACTTGATTATCAGTTTTTAACTTACAATATGTTACACCAAACAGGGTCATAATTTCATTTCTTACCTCATTTTCGAACTCCAAGACACAATGGGATCCACATCAATAAATGCACATGTGATTCATTCACTTGTGTCTAGGAATAAAAAAAAAATGAGGTAAGAAAGAGAATTATATGTAGCATTTTCTATATATATAGTAGCTGATCAAAATATATATATGGTATTTTTGCTTTTTGTTCCTTCAAGAATAACTGCCAAGAGGTTAAGTTGGAAATTGGAATCAAGTTATGTATAATTTGGAATCAAGTTATGTACAATTGCATCCAACCTACGCGCCTGTTCATTTTTTATTTAGGTAAATTATAAATACACTTCCTGAGATTTGTCTAAAATATAAGTTCCCTTCTCTAGTTTGAGAAAACACAAATACTCCTTTGTTAGAGTTTGACTTTTAACAATGTTAATTAAAGATTAAATTACTTGATTACCCTCCAATACCTAAAGAAAATGACTTTACTACCCTCATCTTCTTCATCCTCACTCTCATCTTCTCTTTTCCTTATTTTTTTTCTTCATTTTTTTTTTTCGTTCTTCAACATAGTGGCCATCCCTTCCCCTTTTCCTACTACTTCACCATGACAACCAACACCTCCACCAACTCTCAAAATCATCCCCCATCGCTCCATTGCTACTTCATGACCTCCTCTACCTTCATCCCTCTACTATTACCTTATCACTTCCCTTTCATTTTTTTCCTTGTTCTTTTTTGGGTGCAGAGAAAAGAGTATTGAGGGTTCATTAGGTATTTTAATAAATGAAATTACTGATCTTTTAGATTGTTGACCTAACGGTTGACTAATAGAAGGGGGTATTTGTCATGCGTTTTGAAACTTCAAGGGGCGAAATGTATTTTCCAAGACTTGAGGGACAATTTTGTATTTTAGACAAATTTTAGGGGGATGTATTTGTAATTTACCCTTTCTATTTTGCTCAAATTTGGTACTTAAACAAAATTTCATTGGTGAGGGTTAATAAAATCACACTCTTTTGTATGAAATAATAAAATATTAAAAAATTATTCTTGTATTTATTCTAACAATATTATATAAAAATTATTTCAATTTCATAATAATGTGACCTAGAGTGTTCGAAAGTATTCAATACTTTTCAAAATTAATATCAAGAATCATATATGTTTACGAAATATCGGTATTTGATATGGGTACGATATGGAAACAACTCTTTTTTTAAGTACTTTTTCATAGCCTAGAAGGATGAAAAATTGTATTCCAACATTTTGATCTTCTCAGAACAAAGGAAGAGCTATTATATTCCATATTTGTGAATCAAATTGGTGGCCATTATAGTCCTTAATAATTAGCTTTTCATGCATGTTCTCAACTTATTATTCTTCTTATTATAGTTGTAACAGTTAGTTTTGGGAAACCGCTCGAGCGGTCAATCGGTCGCTCGAGCAGTGATGCGAACCTCTTAGTATCTTGTCTGGTTGCAGGCGAGGCCGCTCGAGCGGTCAAGTGATCGCTCGAGCAAAGATGTGAGGCTCCCAGTATTTTTACTGTAGCTTTACAATACTTCTGGGACATTGAGTTTACTGCTCGAGCGGTGGAAAGATCGCTCGAGCGGTCTATTCGGGACAACAGTGTTAAAACGCGATCTAAACACATTTTTGGCTCACTTTTTCATGCACTCTCTCAATCAACCTTTTCCAAAAACCCTAGCATTAAAACATTAGATTTCATCCATTTATAGCAAGAATCCGTGCTTGTGCCTTCATCAAAGTTGTTAATCTTGCCAAAAGCTACATTTTGAACTGATTAGATCGTATTATTTTGGAAGTTCATTCCTTAGGTCTTCATCTTTTCACAAATAACCTTTGAGGTAGGAATATCTTTACCCTTTTATATCTATAATTTGGTTTTAGTGTGTGTAAATCTTGTGGTATGGGTAGATATTGAGATCAGTGCCCTCTCTATATATAAATGTATATGGATTTTGTAATGATAGTGAATCTTGTTCGAAATTGATGAAGGATTGAGTATCTATTAATGGAAGATAGTAAAAGGCACAAATTAAGGAAAATTAATACATAAAAGGAAAAGCCCTAAAATTTATTGTGTAACCCTAAAGATTGTTCATGGATTATAACTTAAAGGGAAAGGAAATTGATGAGTATAATTGAAGGGTTTTGAGATTCCTTGTAATATGATAAAAGTGTTAGCTTTGGAATGTGGTTTGTTGTGCTATATTGCTTACTCGTGCGGGGAGAATTGAGGTGCCCACTTGCCCAGTTGTGTGAGGACGACAAATGTGGGAGGATTGAGGTGTCCCCTGGCCATCCGTGTGAGGACATAAAAATTTGAAATTTAATGTGGAGTCGTGTGTTGTGCGATAAAATCAAAGACATTGAATCCATGAGTATTGGTAGTAATCATGCATATATTTAAATCAAATATTTATATACTTGGTTAAATATATTCTCTATTGGGCAATCGTTCATTCCTATCTAATAACTTTTCAAGACTCGATGAGCAACAACCCCACCAATGAAGAAGAGGATGACTATCCCTTTTAGACTTTAATTTTTGTGAACTTTGAAGTTATAATGTAACTGTTGAACTTCTATATTATTATTTTTGGGATTTGTGCCTCCTTGTATTAAATGGTCACATTGTAATGAGTAAACTCAAGGGACAATGGTTTTGTTTTCACAACTTAGTGAACTATGAACTGCAATATGTAGTTTTGTAAGTTGAAATATATAGTTCAATGAGAGAGAAATATTGGGATTGATTTGTGTTGTTGGGAACTATGGAGCATGTTCTTAATGGTTGTTAAATTGGAATTGTTTTCGGAGTGTTACAATATTTGAGAGGGGAATTTCTACTGAATAATGGATCGAGCTAAAATTACGTGGGCCTCTGTCTTGGATCGCGCAATTGAGATAGCTCGCTTCGAATGATGAACCATGTTAGGCGGCGAACTTAGATCTTGGGTTGAGCCAATGATGTGCTATGGTATTGGGTCGGGTTAGATCTAGACCATGATCGTGGACGAGATAAGCTAGGACAGGGCTGTTATTTCAGATTGAACTAATGAAAAGAATGTTACTCGAAAGGATTGACCGAGCTGGATCCGGGGTAGGAACAGAATGCCTTGGAAGGATTGACCGAGCTGCTAAGCCGGTCGGGAAGTCGACCTGAGTTAGCTCGGTGTGAGGTCAGCTTAAGCTAGCACGATTGGAGTTGACAAAAGTGGTTGTTCGATTGGGGCATTCCACGTAGCCCAATGGAGTATGGCAAGGAATCCGCAAAAAGTACGCTTCAACACCGTTTGGTAGTTTGCCCAATGCTGTTTGGCAGTATTAACGCGCACACCTGTAACGATGAGAGAGGGCAGTACAGCCACGTGTCCAGCAAAGGATGACAGAAGTAGTGAGCGCACAATCTTGGGCTGCAAGGCCAACCTAGATAAGGGGCATGACTAGGCTTTGAGGAAGATAAGCAAACCTTAGCCACATTCTCTCTCTCTCTCTCTCTCTCTGTATTCCTTCTTCTTCATCAAGTAAATTAACTTGACCGTCAGAGTGGTTTTTCGGCAAACCACCCGCTGGATAGCTCACCTTTGCTCTGTTCGCAGTGGGTCGGAGTTCATTCAGAGCGAGGCAAGCTTAGTAGCAAGGCGTACGGGTGACTACGGATATTTCTTCCCCGTATAATTGGTGCTGTTTGTGGGAATGTTAACATACAAAACCTTGTCCTTCAAGCTTTTATGATCAACTTTAATGGTGAACAACATTCCACTGTTCGCCGTCGACGATATCATGCCCGAGTCTGTTTGAAGGCTTGATGACTTGTTTGTTGCGCTGACGATGGTTGGTCTAGAGACCTCCATATGAGGGCTACCCAGAGACGTGCGTGACAAGCGCGCTAGGAGTTTGGAGCACTCGTAGAGCCCTGAAGGGCGCCAATGATGGAGAGGGCCGCAAACTCAACATTTGGAGCACAAGTTGAGAGACTAAGATGCCATTATTCGGAAGATGGCGACGGTGATAGAGGTCATGAAGCAGCAGATTAAGGGAAAGGGCGTTGCTGGAGTAGGAAACCATTGTGAGCATGCCCAACCCCATCGTTCTGGCAGTTGGAGTGGACGAAAGACGCCCTCACTCTACATCACCAAGAGTTACGAAGTCGGCGACTCCGTCTTGCTGGCAGAGAGATCCTGCACATGAGACAATAGCTACCGCCTTTCATGTCTGATGACAACATCGAAGTACTCTGACTCAGCTCAATTGGAGGACCTGAGGGATGTTCTAGAGGAACGAGCTCGCTAGATGGAGGCCTAGAGGATGCTGACACTATAGAGGTTGGCTTCCAGAATCCATACTAGTGAAGAGGTCGTAATACCTCAATCTCGTATGGTGGTACATGCGCCTGCGGATCGAGACTTGGCGAGGCTAAGCACCATGCCATTTTTCCTTGAGATTGAGAACACTTCGCTTCCTGTTGGCTTCTACTAGCCTAAGTTCACACTGTACGATGGAAATACAGACCTGCACATGCATGTCAGCCATCATCGGCAAGTTATGGCTGGGCATAAGCGGAGCGACGCCTTGATGTGCCTTATATTCCCAACGAATTTAGGAGAATTGGGCCTGAAGTGGTTCGAGAGGCTGCTAGAGGAGAGTATTGAGAGGTGGCAATAGTTGGCT